AGGTAGAACAAAACTACCCCCCCAAAAACAATTTTTTTCTTTTGGTGCCCTTACTCTGTCAAAACATATACATATTTTTTGTATGTGTGTGTATTGTTTTGAATAAAAAATACAATAATTTGAAATCATTTTAAATTCGTTTGAAAAATAAATTCATATTTTCGGCCAACACATTGTAAAATGTTGGGATAAAACTGTATTGCCCTACTATTTTAGATTCAATCTTGTGGAAAAATCCCGAAATTACATTCTTGTTTCGCGCGGTTTTCCCCAATATATGAATTTTGTTTAAAAATCAAAATAAACAAAGCCAACTGTTGCATATTTGACACTATAAAACTCCAGCACAGAGTTGCCTTTTTCTAGTTTCTTTGAAGTCGAGTAACCTTTCTTATTGAGCCATGGTTTTAGATTATTATTCGCCGAAATTGTTTAAAATTTCACATTTAAAATTTCTAAAGAGTACTACAGTCTATGACAGAAAATTGTCTATGTAGGTCCAGGGGCTGGATTCTGGTTGTATGAAAACATGAAATGAAAAATATTTTCTTTACAATTTTTTTCATTTGACATTTCCTTCCTTTATAAAAGTTTTCATTTCACATTTTCATAGAACGAGAATTGATGCCCAGGTCTTCGTATAGACCCCAAAATAACGATAACTCCCTATATTCGGTATTTTTAAAATTTTAACATAATTTTTACGGGTTCTGATTTTTATTTTATTTATTTATTTTTTTTTTTTTGAAAATGTTCAAATTCGTTCCAAATGGTGAGGAATATTCAAAGTTCGGCTCGGCTAAAGTTGCTGTTTTTAACTTGTTTATTTTTAATTTTTATTCCGCAGATTTCGTAATTCAATCACTTGCAACTCCTTTTCTTAAGGCGCCAATATATAACACGCTTTTTTAATTAGCTTAGATCATCGGCTGGTTTCTTCGGAAAAGAAAAAAAGAGTCTTGCGCTAAAATCGAACTTAGTCAACCTAAAACTCCTTTGTTCCTTTACGAAGAAGCCAGTCGATGACTTAAGACAATTAAAAAAGCGTTTCATATATTCTCACCCTTATTCTTGCCACAATACTCTAGAAAACGCTGTCACAATACTTTGAAAACATTGATTTTTGAAAGTTTACTTGGTCTTCCTTTTTGATTCGTACTCTTTTTTTTTAAATACAAAAATTGTGCGTGCTTTGTTTCCTTTTATGGCAAATCATCTGATTGCTTGGTATTTATAGTTATGCTGTCTGTTTACTTTTACAGTTTTCATACAAAAAGAGTAAATCAGCATGAAGGTGGGAGCACATAAAGCGCTTTTCTGAATGGCTTACTTCATCGGCTGGCTTCTTCGGAAAAGAACAAAGAAGCGAAGGGCCAATATCGAACTAAGTCAACCTAAAGCTTCTTTGTTCCTCTACGAAGAAGGCAGCCGATGATTTAAGGCAGTCAAAACAGCGTTTTATGTATTCTCACCGGAACTCTCTGAAAAATAAGATGCTGGACAAATCTGACTGAATAATTTACCAAATGGAATTATTATTGGAATGTATTGCAATTTTCTGGCGAATTCAAATGTGGTCTAAATAACTGGGCCATCACAGAAACTTCCAAAAAGTAACAAAAATTGGAAGACCTTGCAACTTGGACTTTGTAAACAAAAACCTATGCGATAAAACAAATTAAATTTGCAAAAACATTGATCTACACTCTTCATGCCTATAGTAAAATGGTTAAAAGTAGTTAACGTTTGTCATTATTTCAGCCTTTTAATCGATTTATGACTTTTAAAATTCTGCTACTGGTCTATAAATTTTTAATAAAATTGATTGGTGTGAGACTCGCATCACACCTCTGAATAATGAATGGACCTAGATATAATATTTTACGTTCATATGGTTGAAGGAATGCAAATAGGCACAAGTGTTTTCATTGTCCTTATTGTTCGCGTAGCGGTGAGTGGGCCATTGTGGACAGCCGATGGCATTTAAAGGCATACAATAGATTTCTTTTAAAACGTCTGGAAAATTGAAAAAAGTTTGAGATTTTTCCAATGAAGGGTTTCCTTTGTTTTTATTAAACGAGCATTTAATTTGCTTTTTATTTTAAATGAATTTAATGATAAGAAACTTTCACATCAAACTAGTTTGAATAAGAATACATAGATTTATTAATTTTTTTTCTGTAAATACTCCCATTTTTTAGGGATGGTACATATTGCATAGTAGTTCTGAGAGTGAGTCGTATGGAAAAAAGAAGAACAATTGTTGTTCGCTCAGAATATTTTGTGTTGAGAGTTGAGTAGAGAACGGATGAAGAGGGAATCACGTCCCATGTGAACTTAGTATATAATAGCAAAATATAAAAAATAAAAACCTGCTTTACCCCCTGGTAAACATTACCATCGTTCTCCACTAATAAACAAACGTTGTTTTTATAAAAACAACAATAAAGGGATAAAGCCTGACAATTTTGCAACAACAAAAAAATAAAAACTATTTTATTATACCCTCATATGGCTACATATATACCCTATATATCATTTGATACAGCCAAAACGTGCCTCATCGAAATAACGGTTTTATACCCTAGGTCTCTTTAAAACAAATCCGTTTCAGGACATTTGGAGTCGATTTAGCGATGTCTGTCCGTCCGTCTGTCTGTCTGGCTGGTTGATGCGCACGATAACTCTCGAAGGGAGCATCCGATTTGATCAAAAGTTGGTACATGGTAATATTATTATCAAACTTAGATCGAGTTCGGGGATGGGCAATATAGTTCCACTCCTTCTGGTACCTCCCCCATAAAAGGTCCAAATTTTGAAAAAAATTATTTTTTGCACAGAAAGAGAAAGTATAAACCGATTTTCCAACTTTGCGAATCCTAATATTTTCATCAGTGCTACGTCAGGTGTGAAAATAGTCAATATCGGTCCACTCCAACAAGGGTTCCACTCCCACACAAAGGGTATAAACTTTGAATAATTACAACTGTTAAAAAATGTGATGTAAGAATCCGATTGTCTTGAAATTTCACACAACCTAATATTTTTATCAACTCAAGGTCTGGTGTTAAGATGGAATATATCGCTCTACTGGGTACCTCCCCCACAAAATGTCGAAATTTTCAAAGAATATATTTTATTGCACAGAAAAAGAAAGGATAATCCACTTTTGCTTCAACTTTGCAACTCCTAATATTTTCATAAATGCTAGGTTAGGTGCGAAAATGGGCAATATCAGTTCACTCTTTCTGGTACCTCCCCCACAAAGGGTCAAAATTTTGATTATTATAACTCTTTCAAAATGTGATGTAAGAGTCCGATTGACTTCAAATTTCACACATCCTATCTATTTTTATGAACGCAAGATCGGTTAGTAAGACGGAATATACCGGCCCACCCCTTCTGGTACCTCCTCCGCAAAAGGTCAAAATTTTGAATATTAGTTAAGCTCATAAAACACGAATTTAACATCCAATTCCATTTAGACTTGGTACATCTGAATATTTCTATCAAAACAGGATCTGTTATAAAGACGGTAAAGATCGGACCATTCCTTCTGGTACATCCCCCACAAAGAAACAAAGTTTTGAATAACCAAAACGTTTATAAAATCCGAAATAAGCATCAGGTTTTCTTTATATTTCACTCATACAAACATTTTTGTTAACACAAAATCTGTTGTGAAGATGGGATATATCGTTCCACTCCTTCTGATACCTCCCCCACAAAGACTTAAAACGTTGAATATCCATAAAGCTCATAAAAAGCGAAATCAACATCCGATTCCATTCCAGACTTGGTGCATCTCAATATTTCCATCAACACAAGATCTGTTATAAAGATGGCAGAGATCGAACCATTTCTTTTGCTATATGCCCCACATAGGGTGCAAGATTTTGAAAAACAAAACGCCCAAAGAAAGCGAAATAAGCATCCAACTCTTTTCAAATTTCACACATACAAACATTTTTGCTTACACAAGATATGTTGTGAAGATGCTATATATCTGCGAACCCCTTCAGGTACCGCACGCAAAAATGGTCACAATTTTCAATACTTTTATCTGTCATAAATTGCGAAACAACTCAGCGTTTCAATTTTCTTATAATTTTTGCCATACCAATGAAAGAATCTGAATAACCAAGAAGTCAAAATGTTTTTAAATAATCGAATATTGGCTGAGGTTCGGCAAAACCGACAGATAATTTTGAGAATTCAAATAATAGATATGCTAGGTTAACTCTAAATAACTTCAGAGCTTTATAACTGTCAAAAAAACTAAACTTTTATCAAACCGATAACATTGCGCAAATTTTATTACAACACTAACCTAGATAAAGTAAACAGACAGACATACTATTAATCCGATCATGATGATATGACATATTTTATGTAGCCTACAGCGACATGGTAGAAGAATATAAGTAGACGCATCGACACAGCTGCTGGGACAATGAACTGTCAAACTAATTTTGGAATTGAAAATGTTGAATGAAAATTTATTTAAATTTTTAAAAATTGTTGAAAAATGCGAAGTATAATAACCTCCGAATGACGTCGTATAAGAAAACGTGTAAAAATCTACTTATATTTGAAAGAACATTTACATTTTTTTGACATATAAATGAACCCAAGGGTTTGAATCATCTACCTGAATTCTTCTACAAGTTATCTAATAGTATGTTTACATTAGGACATTTTGCCGGATTAAACACCTTTATAATGATTTATTTGAAGTCTATTCAATGAAATAGGCTATTTAAATCCGCTGGGTTTACTAAATACAGTACGCTGTAAACGTAATATAACTTAGGCTGAATCACTTAAAATTTTAGATTTCATATGTATACATGATTCATCTGTTTTCAAATTTAAGGAAGGCTCACTAAAGATCCGATATGCATTTAAATTTGTTATTGGAATAACTTCTTTCAAATACCCAAATGGCGCCCAATATTGATCAACCGTTTTATTGCCATTGGGGCATACGTGATTTTTACCTTTTTTCGTCCAAGTTCTAGAAACTTTCAACAGGTGCGATTTGTACGATAACAATGTTGTTAGTTCAGAACCAAAAAAAAGAACGTTAAGCAGAAAACATAGCATTTTTGTTTTGATATCACTATGCACAACAAAAAAACAAACACACACTATTTATTTAGTTTAAATGCTAAAAAAAAACCTCCACAGATAAATAACAATATTTTATCTAGGATTTCTGGGGGATTTTCTTCTTTCATTGACAACACACACACACACCCACACACACATACATTGTTGTTTGGCATTCCATATTAACCATAAATTATTAATGATAAATTCATAAATTCACAAATTGATATGCAAGATCAATAACAGTTTAAAAAATTGTTGACCATTTTTAATAAAAAAAATCGAACGAGAAAAAAAAATAATAAACAAAACTACAAAATTTCGATTATTTTCTTTGGCTTCCATCGAGTCATGTAGCATTGACTGACTGACAGCTGTCGTCGCAACCATACTCAACAATCATACACAACAAAGGTGCGAACATCATCATCAAACCACCAGCGACACCTTTCAAACCTCAATTGTATTTTGATCGTTTTTTTTTTCAATTTTCAATTTTTGCATATTTGTTTGTTTTGATTTTTATACTTTTTTCCCGTTTTTGGTACGTACACTTACACACACACACACACCACCCACTACAAATAAAGAGATGCAATTTTTTGGATTTTTTGTTTATGAATGAATTAATTCATAGAATTTTAAATAATTTCTATAACTTTTCGCTTGGGAGGTTTGCTTCGACCGGTATTTGTTTGGAATATCTTCTGAACTGCACCACGCGTCAACCAAAACTGAAATACCTATATTTTCTATGACAAAACGCGCGCTTCACTGACTCAAACTAACAACCGATGGAAGCATACAGGCACATTCACTCACTCGCCGCCGCCGCCTCTAACAGTTAAACTTTGTGATTATTATTTAAGCGTTCGCCTCTATTTGTTCCGTACGAACATCGATAAAATTCTAATACTACACAATTTATTTTTGTTGTTGGTGTTGTTGTAATTTCTTGTCAATTTCTTTAACCCTTACCGCTGTTATTTGCGTTCGTTGGTGTTAGTCAACGATTTGTAGAGGTAAACCAAACCACCCAGTTAACAACTCGGAAGTTGTTGTTGTTGTAATTTAACACAGAGATAAGAAAAACAAATTCTACAACAACTTGTGTGCGTGAGTGTGTTGTCGAAAATCCCACTTGTACGGAAAGTGGAACAGATAATAGATTTGTTGACATTCTAATGGGTACCTTCACTTTTTTGTTTTGATATCATGAAGTTAGTAAGGACTGATATTCGGACAGTGGAGAAAAGGTCCAGTGAAAATGACTCAATAACATCTTTCAAATCAAAATAATGTTGATTTCATTAATCACGATTATTGACTAGCTCCTGACTCCCCACCACTATACAAAGGGAACTTCTGAGGTTACAAAATTAATTTTTTCTAGGGCTCTGTTAGTGTCATTCAACTAACTTTCTGCGGCAACAGGATACCCGATCCACACTTTAGGTATGTCACAGGTTATACTGGGGTTTAGTGTCGCCCAATCGGGACCGAAAAATCAAACTCACAGGCCTCGTAGGGGCAGTAAAAAATTAAACTAGAGTTGTTCCAAAATTTCCTTTTTTTTTTTTTAATAAAAAAAAAAACCACAACCTTTGATTTTGGCAATTCAAGATTTCACAATTTATTGATTTGTTAAATTTACGTTGTAGCAAAACACGACCGTCTCTTACGGTGATCAACAAACTCTGTTGTCCCAAAAAAAAAGAAAAACTAAACAAAAGGAAAAGGTCGAGAACTGACATCGATTGTCAGTGATGGCACATCAAATCGTGCACGTACGCAGAGATGAGATTAGTCCCTTTATACACGGAGGAAACTAATCCTTGCGTACGTGAACATGCCGCCCCCTTTGAACGATTAGTTCAAAACAAAACAAAAGGAATAATAATAATATAAAAATAAATAAAATTCATAGAATTCAAAACGCCCACCGGGGCAGACTAAATATAGATTAAAGCTTAAGTTCAAAAGCCCAGTAGGGGACAGAAAAAAAATAATCAATATACTTATGATTACAACAAATTCTAATTATACCAGCTCACGATGATTTAGTTAAATAGTATTTTGCTCCATAAACGTTCTCACCAACTCTGTGTTATCCACATCGGTCTCCAACGCACCAAAAAAGGCATAACCAAAAATGGTATTCTGCATGTAAGGGAGACCTTTCTGCTCTTGAGGTAAGCCCAGGTAGATATGTTTCGAGACATCTTTCCCCAATACTATGGAGCAACCCCATGGAAGGTAGAAAGAAGTGTCAGCTACATCTTCGACATCGTATTTTTTCCACACTTCTCCTGGAAGGCAATGGGCTTTTGGCGTTTCTAGGCGTCCATCATGGCTTGTTTTAAGCTTTATGGTGAGTGTTCGAACCTCGCTGTGTCTATCGGTAAATTGCAACTCGTAGTCAGGAATGTCGTAGTCTGTTGGAAAAGGTAACCTTTGATATGGTGGTGCAATGTAGCTCTCACTGCAATTCGGACTTAGTAATATTCGGACGATGTGTTTCTCGTCATCAACCCCAGGACGATGTACCAGAGCTTGGGCTGTCATTTGAAGCCACTGATATTTAGAGTCATCAAGCTCGTGTAAAAGGGTATGATGCCTACGCCAACAGACACGACACACTTCAGGGCTACGACAATCCTCCAAGCTGTGTGATAGCCCCAGGCAGTTAACACAAGCCTTATTCTGACGCACATACCTCATTTTTTCCCGTGGATGGAGAACCAAGAAGCGCCGGCACAGTCTGAGTGAGTGTCGGGTTGCGCAAAGAAGGCAGCGATATTCCTCCATGTAAGGGAACATTTTCTGAGAGAGATATAAAAGTTAATTAGTTTAAATTTAATAACACAGTTGGTTGTTAGGGAGTGAAGGATTGGGGTAGGAATTTTTTTTGTAGTTACTGCGAGCTAGGTAGTAAGACCAATTTATGTACGGGACGTTTTATCAAGCCCGTTGTCGTCTTTAAGTCGACTACCCTAACGTGCCCATCCGGGCCAGGATACACCTTTGCTACACGCCCCAAACGCCATTCATTTGGACTACCCATCTCCTGTGACAGAACAACTAAGTCATTTACTTTTAGATTTTGTGATGGCTGTTTCCATTTGTTCCTTTTGTGGAGTTCTTTCAAGTAGTCGGATTTCCATCGACGGCAGAACTCCTGCTGAATGACTTTTAATTTCCGCCATCGGTTTAGCAAAGATGTTTTGGTAGGAATTTCTTCTGGTTCGGCAGGGGACAGTAAGGATGAGCCAATCAGAAAATGGCCAGGCGTAAGAGCAGTTAGATCGTCGATATTTTCCGATTGTGGGGTCAATGGGCGTGAATTTAGACAGGCCTCAATGGCTGCTAACATTGTACTAAATTCCTCGTAGGTATAATGTATTTGACCAGCAATCTTTTTCAGGTGAGTTTTACAACTTTTAACACCCGCCTCCCATAAACCTCCCATATGTGGGGCAGCAGCTGGTATAAAATGCCATTCAAGTTGTTGTTGGCCGTATTGTGATATGGCTTTATCTTTCAACTCCAAGACGGTTCTTTTAAAGTTTGCCTTAATCTCTCGAGCAGCACCGACGAAATTACGACCATTGTCAGAAAATATTTTATTGGGACAGCCTCGACGAGAAATAAATCGGGTTAATGCTGCCATAAATGCCGGAGTAGAGAGATCGCTTACTGCTTCTAGATGAATCGCTTTAGTAGCGAAGCAGACAAACAGACAGATGTATCCTTTAACAATGCGGGACCCGCGACCAGAATAGGTTTTCAGCTCAAATGGCCCGGCGAAGTCGACACCAGTGTTGGCAAAGGGGCGACTTAGGGTTACCCTTTCTGGGGGAAGAGCTGACATTAATTGTCTTTCTAGCTTCTTCCGAGCCATTACGCATTTAACGCAGTTATGTATGTGTGTTTTTATCAAATTCTTTCCTCGAATGATCCAGGATTCTAGACGAATAGTTGCCATCATCAACTGGGGTCCGCCGTGTAACGTCATCTCGTGTATGAAAGATACATAAAGTTTTGTGAGTTTACTGCTCGGGGACAGAATAATTGGGTGTCTTTCACTATAAGTCAATGAAAAGGTTGATCCTAATCTCCCATTAGCACGAATAATCTTATCTTTGTCCATAAAGGGTGTGAGCGTGAGAAGTGGGCTTTTCCGATGTAAAGGTCTTTTTTGGGATAGAGCTTCGTATTCCTCGGGAAAGTATCTCATTTGCGATAACCTAATAAGTCGATTTCGTCCAGCGGATAGTTCCGCAGATGATAGGTTTTGGCTTCTATATGTATAGGTCTTTTTCGTGGCAGAATGATTGGCTTTTATGAACCTTTCAATATACCCAAATACATGTATTGCCATTGTATAATTATGTAAATGTTGCAAGTGCATTTCAGTGTGTTCGACATCCGCAGATCTAGCTACATGTGTTTGAGACGTTTTCATTTCCAGATTAATTTCCGGAATACTAAGATATGAAGGCCAGGATTTCTCTTCTTTTTGGAGCCAACTTGGTCCAAACCACCACAGACTTCTCTCTTTCAATTCTGAAGGAGTCACCCCCCGGGTTGCTAGGTCTGCAGGGTTGTCATGTGTTGCAACATGGTTCCAATTATTTCCTACTTTCTCTTGAATTTTTTCAACCCTATTTGCAACAAAGGTTGTCCACGTGTGTGATGGTTTCTTAAGCCACGCTAGGACTATTGTTGAGTCCGACCAAAGGCGTAAAGTGTGATTTTTAATACTCAGCTGCGGAAGAACAGCGTGAGCCAAATTAGCCAGTAAAAGAGCGCCACAAAGCTCTAGTCGGGGCAAAGACTGCTTCCTAATTGGGGCAACTTTCGATTTTGAAACCAATAAATTTGAGGCAACAGAATTTCCTATCTTTATTCGGGCATACAGAACCGCTGCATAGGCTAATTCTGAGGAATCGCAAAATCCATGTATTTCTATTGTGCACTCTGGCGAATATTTCACCCATCGGGGTATTTGAATTTTGTCAATATCGAAATAACTATCTAAAAATGTTTTCCACCTATTCAGGGCAAGCGGTTTCAGTTGATCATCCCATTGT